TAAATCATGATCACTAAGCATAAATTTACTCACAATTCTCCGAAGGCTGAAGTTTGTTATTTCGGTCAGGTAAGTTTCTATTTTCAAAAACGATTTAAACAATTTATATGTTCTCATTTTATTGCCATGTTTACCATTTTTACTGTGAGGAGAATTTAAGCTTTCTTTCCATAATTTTTCATAATCTTTTGTGAGTTTTATTTTAACAACATTTGAGATTTGATCAATGTTATTTACTTTATGGTTTAATTTTATTGTTTCAAAGTCATTGTGGCCCATTATATTTTCAATATGTTTTATCCAACTAGAATTATTCTTAACTGCTTCATCGAGAGCACATTTAAGTATATGGTTATCAGGTAGGGTATTTAGCCTGAACCAATATTTAGTTGCCAATGTTGACGCCTTTATTTTTATTGGTGTTCTGCCAAGTTCTCCTTTAATACCGATTACTGATGTAGTTTTACTTACACCAAGTATGAAACGATAAAATTGATTACAGGTGTATTCAAGATCATTGTCATCTTTTAATAAATCACAAGCCCAGATTTCTGCCCCGTACATTAAAATTGGTGAGATTAGTTGGTCAAATAATGAGGGCGCTTTATTTCTAGGTGTGCGATTTTTCAGTGGATGGGATCAAACAGCGTTCGAATTTCAGAGTTGTACTCAGTTTACGCACTTATGTGCACTTTAATATTCGACTTTTTTTTAAATGCTAAAAATAATGACAGTGCACCGAAACATCTGGGTTATAATTGTATAATATGGACGTAAATCAAGCCTGTCCTGGCTGAACAATGATCTCTGAATGATGGCGCTCGTCATCGTAGACTGCGCCCATCTGATGGTAGGTGACAAAATAAAAAGCAAAAAAAAATCGCATTGTTTCCAAGTTTGTTCACGTTGAAACTAACATTTCTCATGAACGGATTGATACTGTTATGTCGTAACGGAAAAGTCCAAATTAGTACAACGAAATAGAAGACATATTCCAGGAATAATTAAATTTTAGATAAAAATGTTATAACGTGCAATCTATAGCAGTGACGTTGTTACCGGTGAAACTATTTGAGTTTTGTTATGACCAGTGTTCTCCACAAATATAACTTAAAGAAGGGCACTAATTTGCATATAATTATCATATCTAATTTGCATATAATTAGCATAACAATACCACATTTCAAAGAAAATTCTTAGCACATTTATATTTACATCAACCTAAAAAACTGTGTACAAGTACTACATTAATGTTCCTGAATTATTTTGTCATAATGACTAACCACTTAGTTGATTTGGACCACTAACAAAACGATCTACGTTCAGTATTTCTTCTTCTAATTCATAATGCTATGAAAATATCAGATCACTTTATTACTATAACTCACTTATATTTCACATCACTACTAATGTGGGACAGATATATTTTACTATTTGATAACTTGAATGAAACGTGTAGCAGTAAATGAACAGTTGTTTTTTTTAGAAAGTTTTACCTTATCTCTCGAAGATTGTGAAAAGGTGTTTGAGGAAGATTGTTTTGACCAAGTTTGATCATATTATATTGTTGAAAATAGTGCTTAAATTTGTTTTTTTCCTGCGTATACACTGATTCAAACGATCTTCTTCAAACGTGAGTTATTTTATTAGGTACTGCAAAGTTTCAATCTAAGTTTAAAACTGGTGTGACTAGGATGTTAAATTTTTAAGATACGTATAACAATTGAGTTTAAACGTAAAAACATAAACATAAAATTATAAATAATTAAGATACCTAGATGTTACCTCTATCCATTGTCAGTATATGAACCGATAAACGTTGCTCATTATAATTCTATTATTTTTTTTATTTTTTTTTTGTTTTTATCCAATTCACGTTACATTCTATGCCGACATTAACGTGTTCAATTCTATTTTTATGCCTGTGAAAATATTGCGCAATAGTTATGCCGTGCTGACACTGCTAAGACTTCCAATGAGATATGAAACATTCAAAACGTCGGGTTATATTAATTAAATGACAAGAACTGCTACTTACTACCGTTTACAATATGTACCATGTCGTTTCGTGTTTGTATTTTTTTTTTGTTTTTTTTCTCCTACGTCGGTGTGAAGGTGAACACGACATTTGTATGTAAGTAAACTAATGTGTTTTTTTTTCTTCAATAAAATAAAGTAGGATTATTAGAAGAAATTCTTTTTTTCTCATGAAGAGGGCGATTTGTTTTAATTTAAATTAGTTTTTACCTCTATGGTGTCTTTAAAACACTATAGAACATTTCGTAAGAAAGGTCACATAAGAAAGGAACTCACTACATACAGCGATATATGTGTATCCTTCAAAAATACATTTTTTTAGAGAATTAATTAACGGGCAACAAAACTTTGTTTTTTTCCGACAAATATTGACATCCTGGGCGCAAACAGTTCACATAAAATGTTCGGCTACGAGTGTACCATTTACTATATAGGTATAATTTCAAACGTACTCAAAATACTCGACAGAGTGTACATAAAGCCATGGGGCTTTCATTTAGTGTCTGCATGACAAGTCATTTTAGCCCGCATTTCCCGCACTTCTCGATTGCATTCCTATATAGTACTGAACGTACTAAACGGTATATGCTGTGTTCTCACAGTTAGTCCAAAACATGCTCAGTCTGTCTGTTCAACTGTAAATAAATAAATAAATAAATAAATAAATAAATAAATAAATAAATAAATAAATAAATAAATAAATAAATAAATAAATAAATAAATAAATAAATAAATAGAGAGAGAGAGAGAAGGAAAGAAAGAAAGAAAGAAAGAAAGAAAGAAAGAAAGAAAGAAAGAAAGAAAGAAAGAAAGAAAGAAAGAAAGAAAGAAAGAAAGAAAGAAAGAAAGAAAGAAAGAAAGAAAGAAAGAAAGAAAGAAAGAAAAGAAAGAAAAAAAGAAAGAAAGAAAGAAAGAAAGAAAGAAAGAAATATAGATGATCAATGAGTACACCAGGCTGTTTTAGTTACCGTGAGTGTGTGTGTGTGAGTGTGGGTTTTGTGGTAAGTAACTCTAATCAATCCCACAATCCCATTGTTCGACACGAACGGCGCATGCTCAATGACCTTGTGTTTGAGACAAAAAAAGGGAACCAGTTTAAATTTACTTGAATTCATTTGTCAATTTCAGCGGCAAAATGTGCTTTTCCTGCAGGATCCTGGGCGATCGGTGATTCACACGAATTGAACATAATGGCCAAAGAGATGATAGGCGGTTGTTGCGTGTGTTCTGACGAGCGTGGATGGACAGAAAACCCGCTAGTTTATTGCGATGGCCATGGTTGTAATGTTGCTGTCCATCAAGGTACAGTAGTGAGTGGTGTGTGTCTGGTCGATTACAAAACCGTCGGTCGTCCCCTGTCGACGGCAGTCTGATTGTCGTTCTATTCGTGATAAATTACTGTTTGTATATTCGATATCCCAATTTGACGATATAATCTACCTTTCTGTATTTCGGCAAGGCACTAAACGGCGATTCGCGTGTTGGTGTTTTTTAAAAGGGCGCCTTGTAACTTTAACCGAGTATATGTATGTCAAAACGTCATAACTGCTGAAGGCGATCGACTCATTACACCGAAACGTTCATTCACAATATTAAAATAATAATTAATAATACACAATAATTTGATTAACATTTGATCATACATCAATTATCCGAATTAGTTCGATATATGTCTTTTGTTGGCGAGGTTGCCCTGTGTACTATCATGATCTTCACCGGACTCACGTGGGCTACTGTATGTTTACATATCACTTATGTTTATTTCTAAGGCGTTAACTGTCAGGTGTTTGTATCTGTACAAGTAACACAAACCACTAAGCCATAGTCCCTCTACAAACACATAGACTTTTGTATCATTTAGATAAAATAACAGTAATTTGTACAATTAGAGATTTATAAGATAGGTGTATTAAAGGATGTGATATGTGCAAATTTGCGCAAATTGAAGAAGTGACATGAATTGGGAGATAATTACAAAATGCCTGGACAAATGCAACATTTCTAGAAATTCTATCGCAAATTATTGAGTCGGTGAAATAAGTGGTTTGTATTCCTCTTGGATAGTTTTTGCTAGTTTCCTGTTAATCACAAAGTGTATAATACTTACGTTTTTCTTGTTACAATTTAAGCATCAAACATTTATAAACATACACTGCGTTCTGTGACACTATTGGTTAGAAATACGTTTGAACGTTCGTTGCACACAGAGTTGGGTCCCTTTTAAATGTCCACTGAGCGTTAGACTTCACTTCCTTTGAGATTGCATAATACCGTACATATGTATAAGAGTTGCATATCCTTATTATGTTAATCATATGAGATTATTACAAGAATACCACAAAATATATATATGCACAAAGACAGTACAGTAATTGTATTGGCCAATGCATGGTAGATGTCTGTGTGTTTCCATACTTCCAGAGTGTATACTTTGCAGTATTCTTGGGACAAGCTTAAATATTATACATCTTTTCTTTGTTTGTAGTAACAATTTAATGAGAGATAAATTACGAAATGGCAACAAAGAACGTTTTACATTGCGTGGTTTTACTTAAAATGAGGTTTCAGATAGTTGAAGAAAACAAAAGTATGATATTATACTATATGCATACATTATTTTTATAGTCTGAAATTGACATAAATATTTTGTCTAGGCCTGATATAAAATAAAAGCATGGACACTCGATAACATGGCATTTTGGGTTGAGTCAACAGTAACTGTGTCATACAATGTCTTATTACATAGAGTAGATTTTGCCCTGCTTTCCTTTCCACAAAACCCCGCCATCACCACAACCACATCACAATACTGGATCAGGCATATAATATAGTCTTAAGAAAATCCATGTCGATTATACATATTATATGTATTAATTATTCTGACTATGCAAATAATTTTTTTCTGTAACGAGAAAGCCATAAAACTGCAAAGGTATTCTCAGGTCCTGCTACTCTGATAACTACTGAATACAGATAACACAGAAGTTGTAAATGATCATTTGCCATAATTTTTAGCAAAATCAACCTTCATAATTTAAGTTCTCACAAAACCCACTACTGAGTGTTGATCAGATCATAATCCTGATTAAAGATGTCAATCAAATAAAGATGAAAGGAACTATTAATTTTGCTTTGAAGTGCTGTGATACCTTACAATAGAAATTGTGTCATTTTCATTTCATAGTGTAAGTCATTTTGATGTTCAATAAAACGTGATTGTTTCCTCCCTTGTGTTTTATAGTAGCTTGACTGTAGTAGAATTCATTCAAAGTTTTATGCCTTCCTGTTGAATATAGGTACTAAGTATATTTTACATTGTTTATAGGAAACTTTCAAAATCTGGCAAATGAGTTTGAAATTTCACAATAAAATCACAAGTCATTCCAAATCAAAAGATTTGTGTCGTAATTTTCTAGGGTTATAAATGAAGCCCAGGACATTAATTGAGTTGATATTTCATTTGTTTCAACAGTACTGCAAAAACATCAAGTTTCAGAGTTGTATAAAAACTGACTAAAGCCAGATTGTAGGTTTGTGTTAGTACCGTAAAATCTGTATTAGAAGCCGCATCCCTAATAGAAGCCACAGCCCA